ATATTTAAAAAAATCTGTATATTACTACTTATTTTTAATTTATTAATCTTTTAATGACATTACTATCAAAATTAATATCAACGCATGTTAAAAAATCCAAAGACCTCATGGGATGTAAAAGAGAAAATGCTATACATACAATATAATGCTATTATAACTTACGGTATAATCTTTTATTTGAAATTAATTTAATTCATTTAGATATTTATTTATAATATTATATATATTTATTTAATATTATATTATATTCATTTAATGTTACATTTACTATCCTAATTTAAAACTTCATAACAAGCACGGTAAAACCATAGCATTTTCTAAGTAAAAGAAAGATGAAAGGACTTTCTAGAAAACTTAAAATGCAAAGCAGTGTTCTGGAACTTTCTCTGAGTCTCTTCCGAATTCATCTCCGTACATAAACCATAGTATACCCTCCGACAGCAGCACACTTGCTAAGGCTCACTGGGTTTAGCTTATTGACTCATCTGAAACACAGTCATGGCAATTATTTCCGAATACGTAGAAGAAGAGGCTAAGCCCTCGACGTCGTCGCCGCCTCCCAAGACGGTGTCTTTTACAGGGAGCTTGGATCCGTCGAACCCTGCAGGGTTTCTGGAAAAAGTTTTCGATTTTGTCGCGAAAGAAAGTGACTTCCTTGGGAAGGCGACGGCCGAGAAGGAGGTCGCGGCTCTGGTGAAAGCGGCGAAGGAGAAGAGCAAGAAGAAGGTGGAAGGTGGAGCTTCAAAGACAGAGTTGAAAAAGGAGGTGAAGGAAGAGAAGGAGATAAAGAAAGAGGTGAAGGAGGTGAAGGAGATAAAGAAAGAGGTGAAGGAGGTGAAGGAGACAAAGACTGAGGAGAAGCAGGAGCCAATGGACATCGATAAGAAGGAGGAGACTGGCTTCAGAGGTTCGGTTTCTTCCCCTTTTTGTTTCTTGTATTTAATTGTATGAATTTTTTACTCTATGCTTGATTATTTCGTATTGTTGATGTTATTAAGTATCAATTTTCTTTGGCTGATAATCAATTGGTGGAAATGAATCAAAATTGAAGCTATGAAAGTATGCTAATTGGGTTCTTTACTGTGTATTATTCACAAATCATTTATTTAGTTGTTAAGAAAATTGAAATCTGTGGAAATGTTGGAAATGTCCACCTCTCAAGTTTCTTTTTGTGGGTGTGTGTCAGTCAGATCAAATTGGTCATGGGGCGTTTGTTAAGAAATGTTAAATTGATGAAAGTAACATGTAGAGAAGTGCAAGTTGAAGGTTGTAAATTAGGAAATTGAAATTTGTATAAGCATTTGGAATTGGAGCTTGTTGTTATATTATACTTACAGCTATTTTGTATTTCAAATTTCTGGACAGTTCCAAACAAAGGCAATGGTCTTGATCTTGAGAAATATTCTTGGACACAGACCCTCCAGGAGGTGACTGTTAATGTACCAGTCCCTAAGGGAACAAAGTCAAGGTTTGTTGTTTGTGAGATCAAGAAGAACCATCTAAAAGTTGGATTGAAGGGCCAGCCTCCTCTAATTGATGTAAGTTTGCTGTCATCCTTGTTAGTTCATTACTCCATGCATGTATCCCAATGTATTTACATCCGAATATTGTGTTTGGTGTTCTTGCAGGGAGATCTCTATAAGCCTCTCAAAGTCGATGATTGTTACTGGAGCATAGGTATGGCCGGTCCATTTCTAGTTTCTATCTTTCACCTGATAATAACTAGTTTATCATTAACATTATTGGGAATTGATTATAAGATATGTTTGCTAAGATAAAGGTTGGTTATGTTATGTGTTGAAGTGTTTAACCATTATACTTTCAAATGGTGTGGATTAAAATAAAAGTGACTTAGGTGTAGAGCATTTTTTGCATGGTGAAAATTCCTCAAATGTCTTTTAAAAAGAGTTTTGTTATGCTTAACAGTTTGTTATTGGTATTCAATCTTAATACTTGGGATGAGTTCAACTCCAAGTTTTAGGTCTCATTTTCTTAAAGTGTCAATTCGATTCTCTAGTAATCCATCTGCTAGTTCTTACTTATTGGTAATTACAGTATATGGTCCAAAGGAAACCTCAGAGAAATTAGTCATTTATAATAATTTGATTGTTTACATATTAGCCATGTAAATGTGTATATGAAAAAAGGTTATATTATTTTTCATTAACATATGAGAATGTATGAAGAGAAGTACCTTCACATTTATTGCATGTTTACTTTAACTCTAATTGCCACTATTAAAAATCCTCTTAACACTTCTTGCAGAGGATGAGAGTTCCCTCTCCATTCTTTTGACCAAGCAGGACCAGATGGAGTGGTGGAAATCATTAGTGAAGGGAGATCCAGAAATTGACACTCAAAAAGTTGAACCTGAGAACAGCAAACTCTCTGACTTGGATCCAGAAACACGGCAGACTGTTGAAAAGATGATGGTAACTAGTTGATGTCTTTTCTCTCTTTTAAGTTTTCACTCTAGTTATTTCCGTCTTTTAATCATGTGACATTTTTCTATTCTTTTCTTTATCATTTGGAGGGAAAGATTTTTGCTTCTTTTTATTGTTCTCATAGCATTGTTTTTGTTAAAACACAGTATTTAGTTGTGTGGCATTGTCAAACTGTGATTAGCATCTTTCTTTTTCTGTAGGCAAATTGTAGGTTGAATACTAAGGTTGTGCAAAATCATTTTGTTTTAGATATGGCATGAGCTTATTAACCTTTACTTGTGGACCTGTGTTTTTCTTTTGTTTCCATTTCCTCTTCTAGTGATTGGGATTATGATTGCTTCACATGCTCTTTTACAGTTTGATCAGAGGCAAAAAGCTATGGGTCTCCCAACCAGTGATGAGATGCAGAAGCAGGAGGTTCTGAAGAAATTTATGGCTGAGGTAACTGTCCTCCAAAACTTACTCAAGCTCTATTTTCTGTCCTTCCATTCACTTTGTTGTTCTTTTGGCTTATCTAGCTGACAAAATCTGTCAAAATTGTTGCAGCATCCTGAGATGGACTTTTCAAAGGCAAAGTTCTCATAAACCAGAGAGTTATCATTCTCAGTGTGTCTACCTAGTTGATCACCTATTTTGTGCTCACCCTGGTTTCTCTTTTGTAACACTCACCAGATCACCATGACTGGGCAGTGTGACTTGGAACTTTGTTTATAAATATATGTGTGTGTGTGTGTGTGTGTGTTAGATGTTTACTAAAATTTTGTTGAATCTCCTAGTTTTCAATCCTGGATTATTTTGGATCAAGGATTTGTTTTCTTCTTTCTTCCTCTGTACTTTCTGAAGCTTAGCCTCTTAAGCTCAGCTGCCTTCTCTGTTTGATCTAAATGGAGATGGATTATATATGAGGCTGTTTGGCTAAGCTTTTTAACAAACACCTCCTTGTGTTTAAATTTAGTTGTTTATCTTTTAAAGATATTATTCAATGTGTTTCAAAAAGATTATAACTTTTTTTCAATTAAGAAGTTTTTTTTAAGTGGTAATTAATTATAGATAAATATAAAATTTTATTAGTAAATTATTGTATTTTTATT